CTGAATCAATTAGAGAAGAAAGAGTTTCGCCAGCGAAACATCATTCCGATTGATTTCGATGAGATGAAAGAATGACTTAAACTGAAGTGATATTCGACCATTTTTATTCGAACAGTTGACTGTTTTATGACGATTAGAGCAAATTTTGATCGTCTATGTTTGAGAAAAGGCGGTCTTTTCTCGTTCAGTTGCTTTCTCTCAACCAGTATCCATCGAAAATTTTCCATAAATTTCGTTGAAAGTTCTCTACAAAATTTTACAATGCTCGATATTCTTTTTTTCAAATCTGTGCCGAACCCAATGTTATAATTTTTTATGGTTATAGCAAGTTTTCAGTCTTTTGCTCGACACCAAGGATAGAGATAAATTGAATGTGAATTTTCTTGATATGTAAAAAAGGGATATTTTGATGCTAGTTTACCAGAATTATTCTGTACCTCTCTCTCTGTCTAATGTCAACATAATCAGAGTGTTGATGACGCATGCAGTGATAACCACTTGCTCTCATGACTTGAAAGATCTTATCTTTTATTCTCGTTTGTAAAGTTAACATGAAATGTGCAAATAGAAGATTCTGTTATTTCAACGCATAAAAAACAATTTTTCGACGGCCTGCTTGATAGAATATTGTGTCAAAACGAAGTAAACACACTTTTTTTTTCATCTGCTATCTCTCATTTGAAGGTAAGCTAGTTTCCTGTATCGATTAGAATGAGGATCTTGTTGTGACAATGATTGATGAACATTATTTTGCGAGAGGAAAAAGAACTATATTCATCAGATCACCTGTCTGATGAATGAGTTTCACTAACTGACGAAGAGTCTAAGTCAATCATATTGGTTGATTTCTCATTGATATCGTGTGCCCATTCTAACTCGATCTTTGAAGGTGACAATTGATCGATTACCTTTAGCTCTGAAACTGTTGCACATGGCTTCGTTTGAGAACGGATTTTTCACTTCAATTAATCAGAATATGAGATTTAGTGACTTTCTGATTTGGCTCACTTCAAAATCACTCTAACGTTTCAGTGCAAAACGAACAAATTTAAAATCTCTGATGCCTTTGGTATGCTTGGAGGGAAACATCCGGCTTTTATTAAATGGTAGTAAAGAAATACATTTTACATCAATATAACAAAGTCATGACATAAAACTGAAAATTTTGTAGTAGGTATAATTTAAAGCTTTTTCCAGTGTTATGTTTAGTGTTATGAATCCTCCACCGTATTCATTGATGAACAAGAAAAATTTGACAGTAATTGTGCTTCAACCTACAGCAATGATCAACAATCGAATATGAGCTAAAATCGTTTTTTTTCGATAAAAAATTTCTTACTCTTTGACATAAACAACCCTCCTAGCGTTTGGAATTAAGCTAGGAGCCCTTCTTCTTAGATTTTAAGCGTGAATACTTCACTTTTCTGCGATTAAACACTGAGGACCTCTTTTGAAAAAAATATCTTTGTTGACAATACTGTACTTCAGTACGAAAAAGGTTTTTAAATATGAAAAGAGCTGTCAAAGGTGATTCCTTTTTTGAAACTATATGCTACAATATTCAATCAGACCTATCGCTGTTCTTTCGGCTTTTATTGTAGGATCTGTTATCATCGAATGTTCGATCTCCCTCTAATCCAAGAGCGAATATTATTCATTTTTCGCTTTTGATAAATGAACTAGCTGATTTTCACAGAAGACGTTCCTATAAGCAAATAATATATATTGGCATTGCTTTTGGGATTATGGGATTACTTGGTCTCGTGTTATTGATCGTATCATTTGCTTTACCGAAATGCTATGGTAGTATAGAGTCATGTCCAAAGACTGGCATAGCCTTCCTCGTAGCTGGTTCAACTTTGTTTAGCGGAAGTGTTTTCATGGCGCTTATTATTGGTGGTTGTGCTTACTCCAAGCTTAAGAAACAGTTTAGTGATTTGAACGATATTGAAAGTCGAGAACAACCAATCATCTGGCGATTAGATAGCGTAGAATGGATACGCTATTTAAACTATATTCATGGTCCCAATCAACAATGGACTGAAGTGGCACCCGTATCATCTTTCTGTTGTCGACGTGCATCCTATAATCGATTGATCGATCGTCAATACGGCCACATTGTCTTGTATAAAAATGGTTTAATAATTGATGAATTGCATTTTATTTCATTTCGACAATACTCATTGCAAGGTGTACAATTACTTCATGTTGATCAACAGGGATACATATTAGGTTTTAGGATCCATACCTATTTAAAAAGCAAGTGACAATAGTCGAAATGTTTATTTTGATGTATTTGCACCATCATCAGTCACATCAGAACAGTTACGAACAATTGTTCAATCGCGCAATGCAAAGATATCTGGTTCCGGTGAATTATATACAACTTTGGAAGGAGTCCAACTTGGTATATCCATAGAAAATTTAATACGTTGACGTCTTAGCTCATCAGAATTGACTCAATTTTATGATCACTATTGATGAACTATGAAGATTATCGACTGTTTTTTTTTAACTACTTCAGACACAAAAATAAATCATTGTTTGTCGAAAGAAATATATTCAACAGAAGAGATTGAGTGATTCCATGGAAAACGTATTACTGTGTATATACGACCACCTCTGAATCGCCTGATGCTTTGAAGACTTGTAGCGCTCGACGAACTGATTATTTCGGCATTTAAAAATGTTATATAATTGTATATACATTTAGTTCAGAATAGAACTAAATACGATTATGAGACGTTTGGAAAAGCACGTGAAAAATAACAGTATAGAAAGTCTCCTGACGACTTTGGACGAATAATTGTTTATTAGGTTATGTAGAGCGCTGTTTGCTCTATCTTCTGGTATATTTGTGATTTCACCAAGTCTCAATTCTCACCCGTTAGACTTATAAACATTTTGTCCATATATTTCATCAGTTCTTAACAAAACATTAAAAAACGAGTACTATTTCAATGTTCTTTCCAGCAAATATGATTGTTCTTCATGTAATCATTTGTTTGAAGATCATGTAAAAGTGCATAATCTCAATCAAGCATCCCAAGAGAAAAGGGTAATCAATTTTCGATAAAAGTCAGATTTTTTCACAACATTTATTGAAAAATTTGAGATCTACCATAATCGTTCTTTTTTGCATAACTTGATTATTGTACAATAAACTAATAGGAAAGACATATATCAGTAGAAATACTCGGTTTTTTTCGCGTTGCGCCTTTTACTAATGATGAATTAACTAACATAAGATTACTTTGAAAAACAGCTGCATACATTTGTGGTAAACATTGAGCAGCTTCTTAAATAAAGATACATGTCAATATCTTAATGAACTATTTCTGAATTAGCATGTTTTTTTTTGCTGTCTCTGACATAACTTTAATTTACACTATGAAAATTTAGTTACAACGAAACGATATATATTGTATCATAAGAACATTGAACATATTTGAATCAAATCAAAAGATTTCATCAATAAACTAACAAATGTAAAATATACACAACCAATGATGGTAACAAACCGACGAGAGGATGTTTTCAACTGATCAATTACTTTTTCACTGAAAGCTAGTTAATTCTATGTTATTGAGTATGCTAATAGTCGAATAGTACTATGAAAAATTCTCTTAGGTCATTGCTGATAAACTTTTTGGCAAGCATTGGTTTTGTTTAATCAGATCTTAGAGCATATCGAATTATCTAGAAAACAATAAGTTTCTCTGTTTTTCAAGATTTAAAAAAAAAATACAGCCATTTTAGTTCATGAAACAGATGAGATTATTGACATATAGACAACTCGATACGGGGTGTGGGTGTGGTGTTTGAAAGGGACCCATATCCACTCCCAGATCCACACCCACACTCACACCCTTCTCCATTGAGTTTTTTTTGGATGGAATTATCCAATCAGTTTAGAGACAAATTATTAGTTAAAGGACGACCATAAACTTAGACCCCTCATCTCTTGCAGAATCAAGATCGATTTCTAAAGTTTATGGAAGCGATTACTGAAAAGAATCATTTTTTAGAAAACTCTTTTCTGCATCTTTTGAAACATCTCGCATTTAAATACGATGAACAACTACAGAGAAAATCTCAAAATATCATCAAAATGTGGAAAAGTTAATTTTTTTAAATTTTTATAGTCTAGCCATAAAAAATAAAGATTGTGACATTCGTAATTTTTCACAGGTACGTCAGAAAATC